GGGAGGGCTGGGTGCACACAGACCTGGCTTCTCCATCTCCGTGTTAACCTTTCTGACAAAATTCAGGTCATAATTATACCTTGTTAAAGGGTTGTTCTGGTTATTAATACTGACAGATAATACAATAGCCCAGAAAGCGTTTAGTATTAAGTTTTTTATATTATCTATTGTCTTTAGAGGCTAGTCCTAGATTTAATATTTTAAAATTTTCTATATTCCACATCCAGGGGATGCAGTCCTTTGTTACCCAGTTTTTTGTTGTTGTTGTTGTTTTTGTTGTTTTTTGTTTTTTTAATATATTTTATTGATTTTTCACAGAGAGGAAGAGAGAGATAGAGAGTTAGAAACATTGATGAGAGAGAATCATCAATCAGCTGCCTCTTGCACACCCCCCTACTGGGGATGTGCCTGCAACCAAGGTACATGCCCCTGCCCAGAATCGAACCCGGGACCTTTCAGTCCACAGGCTGACGCTCCATCCACTGAGCCAAACTGGTCCCGGCTGTTACCCAGTTTTTAATAAACAGTGTAAAGGTCAACGAAGTGTAAATGAGAACAAGGAGAGCTCTGGGGTCCTCCCTCAGCGGTCGCAGGCACTCAGTCACAGCGCAGGGCGGGGGTCTGGGGCTGCACACAGCCGCTGCCAGGTCCTCGTGGGTGGCACCGGCCCTGGTCCTGCTCCCCGCCTCCCGTCACAGCAGAGCAGCTACTGGATTAAGCTTGTCAAATCCCTAATCCCGCCCCGTCCACAAGGAATTCTAGAGAATGAAAGTATTCCCTTTACTCTTCTGAAGGGCATTTTTCAGAAAAATATAATAGAGATTGTAAGTTGGAGCTTTGTGCTGAGTGGTGTAAGGATTTGCTAATAGGAAATATTAATTTATATATATATATATTTGCTAAAGGGACTGAGTGAAACTGACAGGGACACGCTAAATCCGATCATCCCCCCCCCCCCCCCCCCCTCCAAGCCGCCGCTTTGGAAGGACTGATCTCCACATCCAGCAGGTTTTTCCTAAATGCCTGTCTCCCCGCCGCAGCCCGCAGTGTACATCAGGATCAAGAACCGGGCCCAGAACGAGTACCTGACGGTCACCGGAAACGCCGCCGACGCCCGGGCCGCCTGTGTGTGCACCGCGCCCTACAGCGGGAAGAGCACGCAGGTCTGGCACTACTGCCGCGGCCTCTTCAAATCCAAGGTGAGCGGCCGCACCCGGGCCCTGCCGTCGGGTTTGGCTGCTTCTGGAAACCAGGATCTTGTGAAATCAACAGGCGTGAGAAGCTAACGCAACTTCCTAGAAACAGTCTGTCCCCATGACTGCCTACTAGTAAATACTGGTGCTCATACATGAAAGTGAACTGGACTTAGAGAAGTTTTTGATCTAGAAAATTCAGTTTCTGTTTTAAAGTGAAATCTAAGATGACCACACACTGTGCTCTAAGTGGTTCTTCAGAACCAGTGGCGAGTCCCGGGTCCAGGCTGGGCGTGTGCTGCTCCGGTGAGCTGCTCCTTCAAAGCCCAGTGGCGCTGGCTGCCTTTGGGGTTCCAAACCTGGTGCTGCCTTCTCATTTTCAAAATGTGCCATGGAGTGGTTAGAGAAGGGAGGGGCTGTCACTGGAGAAAGCCTAGAAAATAAAACCTAGGTTTCTGTTTCTCTGAGACCCCTCCGTGTCTGATGCCTCGGGAATAAACGTTTTTAAACGGTCCAAGTGTATTGTATCGTCTCACCAGTGGATGGTCTACTTTCACCTCATGCTTCACCAAAATGGAAAAGCATTAAGAAAACTAAGTTCTCTGAGCTAAAACTTTTAAGCTAGCAGGGACTTAACATGTAATTCCAGTCCAACAGACATTTATTGAACATCTGTTGTCAGATGTAGGCATCCTTTTAAAAGCAAGTACCTCTGTTTCAGGTTTATTTCTAAACCATTTCCTCTCCTCAGGGATAAGCTTACTGAAGTTATACTCTACATGGGTATGGTCTTCCTTTCAGATGGGGCACAGTCACCAATGTCCGCCGGCCTCCCAGGCCTTTCCCTCGCCCGAGCTCCCCGGGCCTCCTTTGCTTCTGAACTCGTTCCCTGAGCCCACCCAGCCCGGCTGGCTCCCTCCCCTGCCTCTGTAACGTGCTCAGTAAACTTCCTCTTCAAGTTTGAAAAGAAAAAAGGGACCCAACCCAAGGTATTTTAGCAAACACAGTGCTACCCGTGCATTTCTTAACCCTGTAGGCCAGCGACACCTGCCTGGATGTGATCGGTGGCCGGGACACGCCGGGAGCCAGAGTAGCCCTGTGGGCCGAACATGGGCAACTGAGGCAGAAGTGGAGGCTGAACAAAAATGGCACCATCAGCTCCTGTCTCGGCGACCAGCTGGTCCTCGATGTGAGAGGTGGGTCGTGCTGCGGGGTCCCATTTTAAGTTAAACCTCCTCCCTCTCCTGGTAAAGAAAGTCACTGTGTGTAAGAGAGAGATTAAGTCATTTTAAATTATGTTTGGAAAAAGTTAAGACAAACAAAACACTTAGCCACGTGGGTCAAGCAGGAAAAGCCTGAGGACCCTGCCTGAGGCTCCTGCTCATTAACCAGCTGTAAAACTTACACTTGTGGTGCTGCGATCTTTGAAAACATTTTTACATTTGAATATCAAACCATAAAATATAATGTTTCTTTGAAAGAAACATCTCTGACTTTTTGCTATAAATTGCTCTAGTCCTTACGAGCCCTCGCTGAAACCATGGGACGTGCGTAACCTTGTGTTTTCCTCCAGCGAGGCCGGGGCCAGAGGGCTGCTGCTGAGGGGGGTTAGCGGGACAGCCGCGGCCACGGTGATGTGCAAACAAAACAGTGCCTGGCTCTCAGCCGGAGCCTCAGCACCTGGCTCTCGGGCGCCTGTCCCCGCCGGCCACGGCGCTGGTGATGAGGTGAAGAACAGCTCAGCCTGTAAACTCAGTTTCCCGTTTCAGCCCGCTTGGTAACGACATGCCAATCGACCCAAACCGCGGGCTGAACAATAGCTGGTGGACACGGCTGAGCACCCGTGTGAAGAAATAATCTTTTCTTTTGGAATTTCTGTTCTAGGAGGAAATTATTTTGACAAGACCCACGTCGTTGTGAATCAGCCCCTGGAAGGAGAGGAAACACAGAAATGGGACATTGAAGTCCTGTGAGCCTCGGCAGCATCCCCACAAAGAGCAGGGGGGGCCGGGCCGCCCGCCTCCCGGGGAGGAGGCTCCTGGGTCCGGAGCAGCGCTTTTCCCGAAGCTCCGACGCCCACGGCGCTCCCCACGGGCGCTCAGCACCTTCTGCCCACTGCCCGCGCTCCTGTGAGGAGCGGGTCCTGGTTTCTGGGGGAGGTTCTATTCCTGCTTCCTCTCCAACCTGGGTGAGCGAGTCTAAGAGGCCTGTGCTTGCTCCCATCCACCAGATCCGTTCCCGTTCCTGACAGCACCCTTAGGGCCTGGCAGTGCTGCCCTCCTGTAGTTATTCACTCCTAGAACGTGTGTGGATGAGTGCAGTGTGGGGAAGCCAATTCCTATAGGTCGTGAATAATTTTTAGCAATATTTGAAGAATAGTTAATAAACCTATTAAGCTGCTTTATTAATAGCTAAACCTTAAAGGTTTTCTACTGAGGCTTTTATAACTGAAGCACCATAAGTATTCATACTTGTAACTGACCCCAGGGAGGAACCTGAACTTTATTAGGAAAAGAACTCAAATATGGAGTATTGTCTGTGGCCATCCTTTGCTCAGTCCTTCAGACTTAAAAAGCACAAATCGCCTGACCATCCTTGCACTCTCAGTATGTAACAAAGACACCCTCTGAGGGGCCACAGGCCTCCAGTGTTACCTGTCCCCGCCTGAGTCCTCACCCTCGGTGTTGCCTGATCTGCCCTCAAGAAGGGTTTATTAAAATTGTTTCACCTCCATATAAGGCAGTCAGGTATGTATTTGCCTGATAAAGGGAAGTTTCACATGTTCAAATTAAAACCAAGTAGTATTTGAGACTTGACTATACCGTTTTACTGTAAGTAAAAGTGGAGTGGATTTTTCTATGAAATAGAAACCTCAGTGTTCCACTCCCATTTTAAATAGCTTCTGTTTTAACAGAATCAGATAGGATCTCATCACCTTGGGCTTAGTTTCAAGCAATCATTGCCACTTTTAACCACACAGTTCACAGGCATTTTCCTTCCTGAGCTGGTTTTAAACTGATAGTTGGAGATAACTGTTCCCTTTATCCCCAACTTTTTCCCAGAAAGCAGAAAAATGTCCTATTTTTTACATAGAAAGATTCAGTTCTCCAGTGGTATTTTTAAAAATATCAATCTATATGCACTTTAGAATGTAAAATAACAGTGAATTGTTTAAACTCAAAGACCCACTATTTTGAGAACTTTTTATAGACGTGGTCTTTCCATGTAGATATCATTGGGTTTTTTCCTTTCATCTCAGGCTATTCTGTCATCTTTCAAAAACTATAAAACTCGCTCCCGCCCACAGACATGAGTGCCTCACTAGTGTGGCAGCATTATTTAATGAAACTCATAGGGGTAACTTTATTTTAAACGGGGGCTTGTGTATACAAAAGATATGTATATTGTCACTGTAAAAAAAAAAAAAAAAAAGTTACATTTTTTTCCTTCGTGTTAATTGCTTAACATTTCCCCAGAGCCAATGAGGCTCTTTAAAGAAGTTTCTTCCAAAGAACAGAGACAAAGCCAGGTAACGACGTTTAAATGTAAAGGATACGTTTATTGTCGTGCCTTTCCTACCACACTGGATTAAATAAACTTGTCAGAAGTATGGTTCTGCCACTTTCTGGGACGCTCAGCACTGTGCCATTCTTTCATATCGCGCGGGTCTCAGGTTACTGGGACACACGTAGCCCAGTATGTAACCATCCCTCCAGCCCCGTCTGATACTCAGAGCAGCCGGGGCCCCAACAGGTGCATGTTTGCTTTTCCTGTGTCCATGAAGTCTAGACTCTGTGCGCAGCGGAGCTAGACCACCTGGAGTAAACATTCTGTCCAGAGAGACAAGGCCAGGCTCTCCTTTTCCTCGTCAGTAGCAAGTTTCAGGTCCTTGACAGCGATCGCCGAGCTGTTCCAAATCTGCTTCAGAGCATCCACATGGGAGAGAGGAAAGCGGAGTCCGTGCGCCTGAAAAGGATAAGCCAGTCCCAGAATGCACCGCTTCGCCTCTCCAGCAGCACTTTCTATAAACTCCCAAAACTCCCCGTACGGCATTATTTTTACGCCCTCCATAAGTATGAAACTTGTTTCAGATGGGCTAGGCCCGTGGTCGGCAAACTCGTTAGTCAACAGAGCCAAACACCAATAGTACGACAATTGAAATTTCTTTTGAGAGCCAAATTCTTTAAACTTAAACTTCTTCTAACGCCACTTCTTCAAAATAGACTCGCCCAGGCCGGGTTATTTTGTGGAAGAGCCGCATGTGGCTCGAGAGCCGCAGTTTGCCGACCACAAGGCTAGGCTATTCACAAACTAGAATCAGATAACTTACAGAATTTGCCAGTTCCCATATGAAAACTCAGACTTCATGAAAGACATCCTAACGTAAATGCTCCTGCACCTCTCCTGCACGTCCCAACCTGTGTCTGCACGTCCCAGAGCCACGTGACTCGCAAGGGCTGTCGGGTGTCTGGAACACTAAGCCCGTACTGCAGTCATAACAAAGCACATTCCCCATAAATCGGAGGGAACACCCTTCCCGGCCGCAGGAAAAGCATCCACTTGATGTTGGAACAAACCTCTGTTTCCTCGTTCCCCATCATGTGCGTCTCCCTCCTGTTCTGTAAGGAATGGTAGATGTAAACCATCTTTTCTTGAGTTTCATCCTTTAAAAAGAAAAACTTTAAGTCCTCAACAGAATTTAGAGGGTTTCATTAATAGGAGGGTTTTCCAATAACATGGATCAACAACCAAGAAAAATCTTAAAACCTCGATGCTTGAAATTTATTGACTACTCTAAAGAATCCTTTTGACAGAATGTCGTGATATACAGTGTGTGCGCCTATTACCTCATTACAGTCCTCACAGATTACTATTTGTTCGTAACAAATAGCAGATAAAAACAGTACACCTGCTAGAGCATCTTCAGAAACTTAATTTCATGAAAAAAGTCACCATTTACATAGCAACCTAATGAAATACTCAGGTTTCTTCAGTTAATCACACCTTCCCTTTTTTTGCATCAAAATTTGACATGAAAATTATGGAGTGAATATTACCTCTAGAGTAATGCCAGCTGTGTGATGTATAAAACTTCCGTTCCAATGACAGCAGCCTCCCCAGAGGTCTCTACGTCCCTCCCATGCAGTGCATGCAACTCACTGACTGCCAGAGCCTATCATTCCCGGTCCCCTCTGAGATAAGGCTCAGACACCGGGCTGGGAGAGAACGCCCCAGACGGATGGGTTAGCAGAGTGACGGTGTTTTTTTCAGTGAAGATGTGTACTTTTGAGGTTTTGTGTCCATTAGAAACCAGCCTCTCCAGGCCTGGCCCTGACGGCTGGAGCATGGAGTCTGTTCATGGAGACAGCTAGGTGCCCCGTCCCTCCGACCATCCCGGGGCGCCTCCTGAGAAAGCGGACTGGGAGGAGCCAGACAGTTGCAAAGGTCTCTGGGCGGTAGGGGAGCTGTAACAAGTGCAGGGGGTCCAACCCAGACCAGCTGGAGCCTAGGAATTCATGGTCTCAAACTTTTCCAGCTGATTCTGTGACCAGCCAGTTTGGGGAACTGCTGGGTCACGTATGGAAAGTAGAATGCCTTTCTATAGGATAGAGATTTTTTAAAGAAGAAACATCAACAAAACTGTATGTAAAGACAGACCTGCAGTTTACAGGATGGAAGAGGGACTGAGGTAGGGAGACGCATGGACAGGGTCCACAGTCGTCTGCGCAACATGGCCTGAAACCCAACGGGGGACAAAGCCCAGACGTGAATCACTGTGTGAGCGGAATAAAAAGGCTTCTGTGGGCCTGGCCATGGTACCCAGTGGTTGAGCACCAACCCATGAACCTGGAGGTCATGGTTCAATTCCCAGTTGGGGCACATGCCAGATTTCAAGCTCGATTCCCCAGCAGGGGGCGTGCAGGAGGCAACCAAGTGATGATTCTCATTGATATTTCTATCTTACTCTCCCTCTCCCTTTCTCTCTCTGAAATCAATTTTTTTTTAATGATTCTGTGGGAGATGAGGGCAAGCAAGCCCTCATGCCCACCAGGAAGGGAGATGTAGAACTGAGGTTGGGCACCATCCGCCCTAAAGCAATGGCAGGCGCTGGGCTGTGAGAGCAGAGGGACCGCCAGAGGGAGGGCGTGGCCGCCGGTTAGTCTGATGGACAAGCCCCCCCAGGGGGAGGACGGAAACCTCCCCCTCCGGATACTCACAGACCCACCCTGATCCGGCATCACCGTGAGGACCATGTGGTCTTTGTGGCACAGCCTCACGACGCTGTCCAACCTCGGCAACTGCCCACCTGGGAGAATCCAGACAGAAAGGCAGTTTTCAAAAGTGGGTCCAGCAGGTGCAACTGTGTAAGGAACCCGTTTACTGACAATTTGCAGTGAGCACAACCCGGGCATTTACTTCTTACCCGGACAGTTATAGTGATGCTATAGCTTACAGCCCCATGGAGCCTGTGCTCATAGTGAAGACAGACATACGATGAGTCGATAATACATTAAATAGACAGACAGTGGAGACAGGCCCTGCCCTTCTGCTCAGAGCTCTCCGTCTCATTTATCCTCTTTTGCTGCTTATTCTGCATGTGGATGCCAGGAGGAGGAGCACCTGCGTTCAGACTGCACCACCCCACCCATTACTAGCTGCGTGACTGTGGCACACAGTCTGTAGATCAAGCATGTAAAAGCCACCTTAGTAAGGTTCACAGGAAAAAAACAATTTTCAAATTGGATTTAACTTAGTGAAAAGGCAGCCACCACAGACAGACTAGCCTGAAGGGCCCTCTTCCCTGGTATGGGATCACAGCTTTACTGACTACAGCGGCTGAGACAAGGAAAACTAGAACAATATTCTGGCCGTTTTCTGAAACTCGGGAAACTCTGAAGATAGAATCAGTGTTAGAAGGGATTGTTTATGCCAGTGGTTCTCAACTGGTGGTTGACACAGCTTCTATAAAAATTGGTAAAAATACTGCTCTCACCAGCCCCGCCTGGCCACGCCTCTCGCTGTTCCCCAGAGGCCATGTGACACAAGGCCGCGCTGACTGAGGTCAGGAGGAACAGGACCGCTGCAAAACGTGTCAGGACTCGGGCAAAAGAACATCGTCCACACGGCCAAGTGACCGGACAGCTCCTGTCCTGGCTAACGGGGCCGCTGCCACTTTCCCGTCGTCACATCAGTCCTGCTACGGGGTAAGATGTCTGAGACCCACTCACAGGACCCCCGACTGACCTCCCGCGCACCGAACCAGAGCGGAGCCCTGTTACGGAGAGGCCCCGTGGCCCCCAGGCGTGTGTGCGGGCCTCTGCGCTGCAACAGGTCAGTAACCCCTGTGCCCGACCCCAGGAGTTGGCGTTGCTGGTCTTTGCTACGGAACATGGACGTCACCGCCCCCCGGCGTGTGTCAGGTCATTTGCAGCCGAAACCTGTCACAAAATAGTCCCCTGGGACCTGGGGGAGGTCGGTAATGACCTCGGGCACCCTCACATTCCACCTGCCGAGGGCAACTTCCTACCCTGAGCTCATTCCAAGGAGAATGGCTCCATGTTCAAGTCCTTGGCGTCTTACCCGCGTGTCTGTGCACACACACATCTCTACCCAAAGTCAGCTCATTCCCCACCTGCTGGGCCCGAAGCTGTGCGTGTGACCTGTGAGGCAGGGGAAGCTCAGGCCTGTGTGCAGCGTGTGTTGTCCACACGCACTGAGACAGGCCCAGCTCCGTGGTCATTCTGACATGCCCCATCTCCCCCGCTGCTCAGAGGCCCGCCGCCCAGGGAAGTCTCCAGATGCCACGTCAGCCCGACCCCGGGGTGCACAGCGCCGCTCACCCGGCGTGCACAGTGCCGCTCCGTCTCCCCCGTGGAAGGGGGGAAGTCTGCTCATGGCGAAGTCCTTCTTCATGTCCGAGGAAAGCGGCTGGTGGGTGCCTTCCAGGCGGTCTGCCAGCGCCCGCAGAAAGCCGCTCAGCCGTCTCCTGGCGTCGGCTGTGGCCTCCACCTGCTGGAAACAGAGCAGCGTCCTGGCCCGGAACCCAGCCGAACCGGGGCCCCGGGCCCGGGCTCCCGAGCAGCCCCGGGTGTGGACCCGTCCGTGTCACCCCCAGAGAGGGGGACTGAGGAGACCGGAGCCCCTGTGAACAACGTCCCATTCTTTCCATGTAGCCACTGCTCCTCTGAACTGCCTATCATGGGCACACGCACACAAAAATCCATTTTTGGGATTTTGCCTGGAAAGGGATCCTGGAAATGCAGTCTCTGCTCTTGCCTCTCGAAAAGCAAATCACTAAGGTGACTGCCTCGGGCAGCGAAAGCACCTTGGCCCAATTCAGCACTAATTCACGCATCTCCTCAAACCAGCCAACCAGGGCTGCTTTTTCGACATAAACCCAGGACAGACGGACAAGTGAGCCAGGGAAGCAGCTAGGCCGGGCTCCCCCGGGGCTCCTCCATGCAGAAATCTCTCGTGTGCGGCCCCTGCAGTCCTGGCCCCGGTCCGCCCCGGGCACAGAGCGGCTGTGGGCACAGCTCCGTGGGCTCCCGCTCACACACCGTGCGTCCCCAAACCACCCAGCCCCGCAGGCCAGCCCAGGAGGGGCGATGGCTCATGGGAGAAGGGCCCCGGGGTGTGGGCCACGGCGTCAGCTGCCGGCTGTGAGCCCCGCTCCCTCCCCACCTGCTCTCTCCTTACCAGGAGCAGCTGCCGGGGAATGCCGGCCCGGAACTCCACATCTTCCTCTGCTGCATCAAACACAAGCCCCGATATGGTGTCCAAAAGGAAATCTCCCCACGAACTGGAGCGCGCACCACCACCACCAAAACCAGCAACAAAACACACAGAAACCATGGGTCACTGTACAGCCAGACTCCCCGCACTCCACGCCCTGCCAGGCCCTGCTCCTTCCGTCTGTGTGACCCCACCCTCCCAGACTCCCAGGCAGCCGGAGGAGGGAAGCGAGGCTGGATTCATGCTTTCCCTTTAAAGAGACCAGAGAATTAGACGTATACTGTCATGAAGTAGAAAGTTCAAGAGACCCTTTTTTTAAATATATTTTATTGATTTTTTGCAGAGAGGAAGGGAGAGAGCGAGCTAGAAACGTCGATGAGAGAGAAACATGGACCAGTTGCCTCCTGCACACCCCCCACCAGGGATGTGTCCACAACCAATGTAAATGCCCTTGACCGGAATCGAACCTGGGACCCTTCAGTCCACAGACCGACGCTCTACCGCTGAGCCAAACCAGCTTCGGCAGGGACCCATTTTTTAATGCTTTTAACTGTAACAAGTGTCTATGAGGAGAGCTTTGCAAGAAATTTTAACAATCATCATAGGACCAAAAAAGTTTTATGTGCAAAAAGTCTAAAAGCAATACATTTAAGGTCACAGCAAGATCCCCGGACTGTGTAATTATCTGCAGTTACACGTTAGCTTTTCCTTCCCCCCTCATAAAAGAGTGAAATAGCCGTCAACATCAATTTCCAACAAACCGATCTTGCAGCTTGCTAACCTCTAGCAGGGGCTTTCCCCGGGGAGGGGGTGGGAGCCAGTGGCCAGAAATAACATCTGCAGAGGCGATTCGTGTTCAGTGACCTTCGCTCTCGGGGGCGTTAGAATCGGCTCGCCCCTAAGAGTGCCCCCGTGGGAAAAGCCACTGCCCGGTGCTCTCTCTGAACATCTCTTAGCTGCTGAAACTTCCCTCTGTGCCACCAGCGGACGCGGCCGTGCGCGGAAAGGGACTCCACAGTATGACTCCGGCTTCTCCCGCAGTGAGCAGAATTAACACATTCTACTCCCCTCCCAGACAAGTGGCAGAGGAGGACAAACGCCCCAGGAGAGCACGTCCCCAAGACATCCACAACCACCGGGGGCCGCCCGCTCTGCGACTTAACGTCCCCCCAACCTCACATCCCGGGGCACAGAGCAGGCTCCGCCTCGCGGGTCCAGGGCGTCAGGGAGCTGCGCTGCCAGGCAGCTGCGCGCTCTCCGCGTCAGAGTGGGTCCCGGGCCTCGTAGGGGCTCGCTTTGTAAAACAGCCGAGTCACCTGCTGCTGCCCCACCCGCAGCCCCAGTGTTCCACATGCCACCCTGGAGAGGGGCTGGGAACAGGCCCAGCGGTTCCCATGGTAACAGTTTCTGTTTGGGGGGATGAAAATGCTTGGGAACCAGATAGTGGTGATGGTTGCAAAACAGTGTGAGTGTCACTGATGTCACTGACTGTACATTTAAAAATAGCTAAGCCCTGGCCGGCCGCCCCAGTTGGTTGGAGTGTTGTTCTGGACACCAAAAGGTTACGGATTCAATTCCTGGTCAGAGCACACACCAAGGTTGTGGGTTCAATCCCCGGTCAGTTCAGGCAACCTAACCATTCAATATTTCTTTTTTTTCTCTCTCTAAAATCAAGGGGGAGCTGAAACCAGTTTGGCTCAATGGATAGAGCGTCGGCTTGGGGACTGAAAGGTCCCGGGTTCGATTCCAATCAAGGGCATATACCTTGGTTGCGGGCATATCCCCAGTAGGGGGTGTGCAAGAGGCAGCTGATCGATGACTCTCTCTCATCGATGTTTCTAACAACCTATCTCTCTCCCTTACTCTCTGTACAAAATCAATAAAATATATTAAAATCAAGGGGAGGCAAAAGTAGGTTTACAGCTATTCATATGGAAAGATATGCAGATTATGATTATTACAACTTTTTTATTATAATAATGTACTCACAACTGTATAACTACTTTTATCCACCCCATGTATATTTACCACGATAAAATACTTTACAGAGAGACAGACACACACACACACACTAGAAGCCTGACTCACTGCCGCAGCCGTGCCTGCAGCCCTGGATCCTCCTTCCTAAACTACGGGAAACTCCCAGGGTCATCCAGCCGGGTCCATGACACCCTCAGGAGGAAGCACGGACAGGACGCTGAGGACTATGAAGTCAGCAAAGGAGCCTGAGCACCCCTCCCCACCCCCATCCCCATTGGTGCGGGGTGGGGGCCCCTCCCTCCTGTCCGGTAGCCACAGCTCGGAGCCGTCCCGGGCCCAGGCGGGCAGGGTCTCACCTGCTCTGGTAGGTGCTGATGGTCAGGTGAGTGGAGTGGGCCAGCCCCGGCGGCGTGTCCGCCTGGTGGATGGTCCCTCGGGGAAAGTACAGCAAATCGCCAGCCTGACGGAGGGAAGGAGGGGGGGAGTTAGCAAGGACAGCTTCTCCGTCCTCTGTGTTTGACGGAGACAAACGCAGGCAGAGTTTCCGTTCTCCGTTCTAGAAACCTCTCTGGTGCAGGGCTCCTGGGGCCTGCGGCCTGAGCCCTCTGGTCTGTGTCATGCGACCCAGTCCCACAAGGCTGTCGGGACCTGGATCACTTTCTCCATTCACAACGAAGGCCAGACAAGCCCGAAACTCCGCCGCCCAGGCCCACGGGCCTGGGAAGTGCTCCCTCTCCACCCCGTGCCGCTGTGAAGAGTAGGATCTACAGCAGATGACCCTCCCGAAGCCTCAGTTTCTTCGTCTGTGAAATGGAGGCAACAGGACGGCCTTGAGGATAAAGGGGCTCCGGGCGGTGATGGGCGGGCCGTTATAACATGGTTTTACCGGCCAGTCCCTGCCCGTCTGTGCGCCCTTCCAGGCCAGCCTACCTCCATCTGTATTCCCAGAACCTAGGCTACCAGGGCACGCAGCACACGTGATAGAATGATCAAGTGAAAGCATGCAACACCCAATAACCCCTCGCCTGAACCTAACCTTATACGGAAGTAAAGATCAGCTCCTTCCTCGGGCAGGTGAGCCTCCTCCACCCTACGTGGCTCTCCCCCAGGCCAGGGACAGAACTGCCCTCCCAAACCCCCTGCCCGGAGCTGCCTCCCACTTCCACCTGAGGAAGGGCACTGCAGCAGCTGCCGAGGGCGAGAAGGCTCTGGAGAGCTGCCTCTCTCCTGACTGCAGCCTCAGGAAGCAGCTGGCTCGCTGGGTAAGGGGACCCTCTGGCTCGCTGGGTAAGGGGACCCTCTGGCTCACTGGGTAAGGGGACCCTCTGGCTCGCTGGGTAAGGGGACCCTCTGGCTCGCTGGGTAAGGGGACCCTCTGGCTCGCTGGGTAAGGGGACCCTCTGGCTCACTGGGTAAGGGGACCGTCTGGCTCACTGGGTAAGGGGACCCTCTGGCTCGCTGGGTAAGGGGACCCTCTGGCTCACTGGGTAAGGGGACCGTCTGGCTCACTGGGTAAGGGGACCCTCTGGCTCGCTAGGTAAGGGGACCCTCTGGCTCGCTGGGTAAGGGGACCCTCTGGCTCGCTGGGTAAGGGGACCCTCTGGCTCGCTGGGTAAGGGGACCCTCTGGCTCACTGGGTAAGGGGACCCTCTGGCTCGCTGGGTAAGGGGACCCTCTGGCTCACTGGGTAAGGGGACCGTCTGGCTCACTGGGTAAGGGGACCCTCTGGCTCGCTAGGTAAGGGGACCCTCTGGCTCGCTGGGTAAGGGGACCCTCTGGCTCGCTGGGTAAGGGGACCCTCTGGCTCGCTGGGTAAGGGGACCCTCTGGCTCACTGGGTAAGAGCGCGGAGCCTCTGGCTTTCTGAGCAGCACCAGCCAACGAGCCAGGGCACCAAGCGCCTGGCTTCCAGGGACAGGTGGTTCTCCAAGGGCTACGGTAAGCACTGCTCTGTGGCGGCTGCATGCAGGGGGCTATATGCAGGGCTGGGGGGAAATGCAGAGAGTGGGAAGCAGTCAGGAGTGTGGGCCACTCTGGAATTTACCAGCAGGAAAACAAAGGGGTCCCAAGCTGGCTCTGCCTCAGCCGCCTACACCCAGTGCCGCCCCCCACCCCCACCCTCACCTCTGTGACCCGGCGTAGCTGCCCAAGACCCACCTTCCACTTTTACCCGAGAGAAGTCAGAGGACAGCAAAGTCATGACCCATTCCTGCTGGACGTGGACTGTACTTGGCAATTACATAAGGTCATTTGGAAATAAACTTAGCCCTTCCTTGGCTCACTCCTGCCGGTGAGCAGGTGCCTGGGAAGCCGCGGTGCTGCCCGCACCCAGGGACACACTCCCCCGGGCCGACGGGGACCGCCGAACCTCCAGCCGACGGTCTCAGGCGGGGCGCCCGAGCGAAGTCCCTTCCTACCTTCAGCGTGAACTCCAGCACCGGCCGCCCGAGCCTGTGCTCCGCCTCCAGGCTGTAGGCGCGCGCCAGGGGCACGGTGGGGGGGTAGAGGCGCCAGTGCTTCTGCCCCTCCAGCTGCAGGATGAACACCTGGGGGAGGGCCACAGGCCGAGGTCAGAGCTTCCTCCAGGCGGGCCCTCCGAGGGCGCCCCCGAGGAATCAGCGGTTTCAGATAAAAAATAAAAATGAAGACCAGCCCTAACCGGTTTGGCTCCGTGGATAGAGCGTCGGTCTGTGGACTGAAAGGTCCCGGGTTCGATTCCGGTCAAGGGCATGTACCTTGGTTGCGGGCACATCCCCAGTAGGGGGTGTGCGAGAGGCAGCTGACTGATGTTTCTAACTCTCTATTCCTCTCCTTTCCTCTCTGTAAAAAGTCAATTAAAAAAAAAATTTCTTAAATGACTATCAGACACATTTCACTGCATACGTAGGAGCTGTCACCACTGGCTGTAGCTTGTAGGAAGGCTACAATCCTTTTCCTTTTGGGGAAGCCTCGCTGAGTTCGCCACAGCCCACGGCAGACCCCATCTCATTCCCTTAAATCTCCGGCCGGCAGCTACAGCCCTGACTCTCCGGGGCAGAGCCAGGCCTCAGCGATGATGGATCTAAGATCCTGAAGACCATCCTTGGTCGGCAGGAAAGCTGTAAGCTTTTTGTTTCCTCATTCAGCCAAAGATATCGCAATACTCTGTTAAAAACACACTTCTAAAGAACCAAGCCCTTTTAGAAGATGCATTGATATCAAATTGCTCTTAAAAGGAGGAGAAATGCCTTTTTACTAATGACTCTGTGTTCACACCTTGAGTTGGTACAAAAATAAAACTACAAAATGCCTAAGCCGGAAAGCTAACTGTCTTTGGCAGCTCCCGGGGAGTGAAGCCAACGCGTGCCAAGGCGCCAGTTCCTGAGGGAAACCGTGACCTTCACTCCAGCTGCCCCGAGGTTGTCACAACTGGGAAAATGTCTGTGTTTCCGGCAGCTTCAGACAAAGGACAACATGGAAGCAGAGGTATTTCTGCTTTGTGGCTTCACCTTAGTAAAGACCAGACACTGTGAGGTTAGAAAGCCAATCACCCTTCCCTGTGGGTAAACTCAGCAGGCCTGGCCCTCGGGTCCCCTCGGAGAGGGAGCAGGAGGGACCGGCTGGGTGGGCGTGGTTCTGGCCCGACGGCCAGGTGAGGCCAAGGTCCCAGAGACGCACAGGCAGAGTGGACAGAGCCCTGGCCCCTGTCCTGACCCGACCCTCAGCAGCTCCTCCTGCCCCGGCCCCACAGGCTCCTCCTCTCACCTCGACGTCATCGTAGTGGGGCGGCAGGCCCTGCGAGCCGGCAGGCGTTATGTACACATTCGAGCCAACCAGGGAGCCAAAGTAGCATTCCAGCTTCTCCTGGATCCTCCAGAGCTCATCCTTCAGAAGAGGAAGGAAGCGGAGGGAGAGTCCGTTAGCAGGAAGGTGGGACGTGCTCTCATTTGCTGACAGTCTGTGCTGAGCGACTAGCTCCAGACACCGAGAACTGAGCAGCAGGGAAAGCGCCCACAGCTCTGCCCTCCAGGATGTTCTGCGCTGAGACTGACACCGCAGAAAGGCTGGAGCACAAAACCGGGCCTGGCAAGGCGAGAAACCTGGAATGGGGCAGGCCTTTGAGCAGGGAGAGGACGTGATCCATTTACTGTTCGTTTGTATCTTCATTGTTGAAAGTATTACAAATGTCCCCTCCAGTGACTCCCTCCACTCCACTCCCGCTTCCCCCTGCCTTCCCCCGAGACTTGGCCACACTGCAGTCTGTGTCCATGGGCTGTGCATATGTGCACATGTGTTCTTTCGTTCACCTCTCCCTCTCCCCTCCGGCTTCCCTCTGAGTTTAGTCAGGCTGTTGCATGCCTCCAGGTCTTAAAAGCTCACTCTGGCGTCCGTGTGGGGAACAGACTGTCGAAAGCAAGACAGATCAGTTGGGAAACTGCAAAGGCAGCAGCGAGGCGAGGGACGGTGGGGTGGGGAGGGAGAAACGGGAAGGCCAAGGCTGCTGGAAGCAGCACGGCCGGACCTGCTGGGCTCCTCCGGGGCTTCTGACCGCACAGTCAGCTCCGTCCCATTCGTTGGACGGAAGACCTGCTAAACGACAACTTTCCGAACAGGACAGAGCATTCTCTCTTAGACGTGTTGTATCTGAGCTGCTAGAACCCCCATGGGGAGACGTCTTTAAGTGAGCTTCTGGCTCTTCGTCTTGAAGTTCTGGCAAGAAGTAAGGATGGAGACTTGCTTGTGGGAATTCCCCACATAAAATAAGTATGTGACGGAATGGGAGAAGAAATGACAGCCTAGAAAATGGTACAGATGGAGAAGGGGGGAAGGGGCCGAGTACATTCTCTCTCTCCAGGCGCTAATCCACTCTCCGGGGTTTAAGCAGATGGAGGGGCCGAGAGGGGAGCCATAAATGTCAGAGAGAAAGAGAGAGAGAGAGACAGAGAGAGAGAGAGAGAGAGAGAGAGAGAGAGAGACTAGCCTTTCCCAGGCAGCTGTGAAGAGGGAGGGAGGACTGAGGCCACACCAGGCACCCGCATGCTCTGCAGCCTCGACATAGGCAGATGCAGCTGAGAGGGAGGGACTTCAAGAAGGACATGACCACCTGGACGCTACTCCACGTACCTTAAGCCATAAGGAAGGGGCAAACCCAAGAGAAAGGTCTGCCTTACCCCAGGACAAACCAGCCCACAGAACTTTTAAAACAAGCAACATAATTTAGATTTTGCAGCTCTGTGACACCCAACCACGTCCACCCTGCATGTTGGACATTTTCTAACAATTCGGTCAAAAGATAGCACAGATGCTGAAACCGGTTTGGCTCAGTGGATAGAGCACTGGCCTGTGGACTGAAGGGTCCCAGGTTCGGTTCCAGTCAAGGGCATGTACCTTGGTTGCGGGCACATCCCCAGTAGGGGGTTTGCAGGAGGCAGCCGATCAATGTTTCTCTCTCATCAATGTTTCTGACTCTCTATCCTTCTCCCTTCCTCTCTGCAAAAAAATCAATAAAATATATTTTAAAAAAATAAAAAAGGTAGCACAGAATCTCCTCGTTGGGTGCTGCCCCTTCGCAGGCTGGCAGGAGGTGAGCCACCACCAGACCACAGGTCGTCCCCAAGCTGCTCTGCGGCCGCACGTTCACCCTCTAACCGCGAGGACTCTGCAGGGGGAGAGCCCATTACCTTAAACCGCTGAGGCTGGTGAAACTGAATCGTCGCCCTTTTCTGATCAAAGTCTCTCCTCAGCTGCAGGAAGTGCACCTTGCCCTCCTTATTCAACACCTTCTTCCTCCCGTGGACGCAGCGGCAGACGTTCACGTCCCGGCCGTAGGACAGGCCCCGGCCGCACAGCCCCTTCAGGTCGGACAGCCTGAACAGGGACTGGTAATACGCGGCCAGTGCAGGGTCCTCCCTCTGAATGAGCAGGGGCTTCTGCTCCCAGAACTCCTTGAAAAAGGTCTCTGTCTTGATGGGCGAGATTAGACTTTCAAAGAACGCACCAGGGCTGTCGAAGTTCAGCGGGCAGGGCCCCCCAGCCGCCTCCCCCTTCGGCCGTTTGCAGGGCGCGGGCCCCTCCTCCTGCCCGGTCCCCGCGGGCTCTGCTTTCTTTGGCATCGTCCGTCTTCCCTCCGTCTTCCCGAGCTCGCCGCGGAGGCCGGCCTGCGGAGGGAACAGAGCGGGTTGGTGCCCGCGGGTCCTGTCAGCCAGGCCGGGCCACGAGCCAGAGACCTGAGGGCCCAGCCTTTTCCGCAGGATGTGCTACCGCCTCAAGCCCGCACAGCCCGCCTCCCACGAGGATGCAAACCGCGATCACACGTCCCTCTGAGGACAGCATCCTCGCACACAGCACTGGGCTGTGGAGTCCCGGTGGTTATCAGGAAGTGTAATTATTCCGACTCAAAGGGCTCGACCTCAGCTGCTCCTCATCAGAGTCAGCCTGTGGCCACGGGCACAGCAACATCGGAAATCTTTTTAATTTGGCTCCCAGCAGCACCAGGTCCCAAACCTAATGAGATGCTCTGTGAGTTACAGACCATCGGCTGGAGAGCCACCAACAGGGGCCCCTCCAGGCGCTCCTCACCGCGGCGCCACCCCCATCTGCCCGCCGGGGCAGCGACTGCCACGTCCCGGGCTGCTGGTGCCAGCTGGTGGCCGGAGCAAGAAGCAGCCTGCGCCCAAGTCTTCCTCAACCACGTGAAACGCCCACTTCCAAATCTCGGCTCATGCCCAAAAAGTGCCACCTTATCAGAAACCTCTCCCCCATTAAAAAATAAATAATAAATAATAAATGTTTAAAAAAAAAATAGAAGCTGAAAAGTGAAGGCTGAAGATAGTTATACCCGAGCCTTTAAAAAGCTGTAACGTAAACATAGCAAATACCCACATCATAGCCCTCTAGCCCAGCACTGCTCCATCCGAAGTGCACCCACCCATGGCGTCAGGTCGGACGGAGGGCTGGGCTGGCCCTCACCGCTCCCAGGCAGGGTGCTGCGGGCCAGACCACACCGCAGGGCAGGGGCAGCACAAGCACTGCCAGACCTCTCGGAACTGCCCCCATGCCACCGCTATGGTTAGCAAGCAGGTGTCCTTCATGAGGGGTTCGAGAATGGTAACTCAAATTGTATGAACTTCCTGGAACTGCGAATTTCTATTTAAACATTTTTCCCCCTAGGAGGCAGTGGTGGGTCCGTTGCTTTCACCGGTTCTTAAAGGAGTCTCTGGCCCAAAAAAGGTTATAAAAATCTGCACTTATAGCCCTAGCCAGTGTTTCTCAGTAGTTAGAGCATCTGCCTGCTCACCAAAGGGTCAAGGGTTCGATTCCTGGGCGCATGCTTGGGTTGTAGGTCCGATCCCCAGCACGAGTTGGAGTACATGCAGGAGGCAACTAATTGATGTCTCTCTCATACCAATCTCTCTCTCTTCCCTCCCTCCCACTCTCTCTAAAATCAATGGGAAAAATATCCTTGGATGAGGATTAAGAAAAAAAAATTTTTAAATATCTGCACTTATAAAAACCAATTTTTCCCAGAGACCAGTAACTTATTAATAGATGTTATGGCTTCCTGTTCTGCTGGGCCCGTGGTTGGCAAACTGCGCTTGCAAGCCACATGCGGCTCTTTGGCCCCTTGAGTGTGGCTCTTCCACAAAATACCATGGCCTCGGCGAGTCTATTTTGAAGAAGTGGCATTAGAAGAAGTTTAAGTTTAAAAAACTTGGCTCTCAAAAGAAATTTCAATTGTTGTACTGTTGATACTTGGCTCTGCTAACTAATGAGTTTGCCGACCACTGTGCTGGGCTATCTGAATTGGAAGAGGGCTGTTTTCTGCTCCTCTGTCATTATAGCTAAGCCGTATTTCAGCTGCAATGTGGACTAAGCACAACTAGTGGTCTGGCCAAGGAATAAATCCTGAAATAATCTGTTACATATTGCAACAACTAATGTATTAATAAACCTTTAGAATGCAATCCAAATGTAAACTGAACACAGCAGGAAGTGCAACAGTCAAAATACAACTCTCTAGTGACCTCATTTTAGCTTCTAAATTTTGTGCCCACAAATAGCTCAGATCAAGTGCTTTTGGTGGGGAAACACGGGTTGATGGTGGAAAACTAACAAAAATGGACACTGAAAGCCTGCATGGGAGGAGTAAGGCTTTAGCTTAGAAAAGAAGTTAGCTTTGGTGTTTTATAATGTGTCATCAAGGAGGCAAAAATTTACTGAAAATGTTTCCTTTTCCTTTCACGTTTTCCAGACCATTTTGATTTCTCAACCAAAGAATCAAGGCTTCAGTGAAACAAAGTATTCCTAGTAGAATGGCCCCAGACATGAAAAGGGACTAGCAAAGAGCACTGCTGTCCTTTGAAAGGCCAGTTTATGGCTGACATCTGGGAGTTTTTATTTAGGAGAGTCCCCACCACTATTTAAATATTAACGGTGACTCACTATGGCCCTGGCTGGTTTGGCTCAGCGGGTGGAGCATCGGGTCTCTGGTTTGATGGAGGTCAAGGGCACAGACCTCCGTCAGGTGCTTTCGGGAGGCAACCAATCAATGTGTCTCTCTCACATCCATGTTTCTCTACCTCACCCCCTCCCTTTCACTCCCTCTCAGAATCAATGGGAAAAAATCGGGTGAGGATTAACAACAAAAAAGAGTGACTGACTCTGACTTAACTGTTTGTGCAAACAATCTGTTTTATACTGAACATCTGCTTTCCTTCTGGGAGCCTAGGGTTATTTATTTATTTATTTTTGGTTAATCCTAACCTGGGGATATTTTCCATTGATTTTTTTTAGAGAGAGTGAAGGGGAGGGGGAGAAACACATTAATTGGGTGCCTCCTAAACTTGCTCCAACCCAGGCTGGAATCGAGCCTGCAACCCAAATACAAGCCCTTAATGGGAATCGAACCTGAGACCCTCAGTCCACAGGGTGGATGCTCTATCTACTGAGCCAAACCAGCTAGGGTGCGAGTCTGGGAGTTTGGGACATATTACAACAACTAAATTCCCAGGCAAAGGATGCTTAGGTGACTAGCCCCAAATTTACAAAAAAATCCTGGGCACTAAGGAGCTTGCCTGCTTGGCAACTGTGTGGCTGTCACAACTAGCTGCCGGAACATTGCGCACTGGGCCTCCTGTTGCTATAACCAACCAGCTGTTGGCTCTGTTGACTAATGAGTAGCTTATAATGTAAGCATGTCAGGAGCAGGAAGATGCAATTGAAAGGCTTTTCTTTAAGCACAATGTATGGATACAGCTATATAAGCACGTTCCTCAGGAAGTGTGCTTAGACAAAGTGTGCAGAACACTAACGTCAAAAAAATAAACACTTAGGGCATTTTTTCCATCTACAATCACTAACAAACACTAGCACTGCATACCAAACGCCTTTGTTAGACTATACATCTCACTATTTATACTGCCAAAACTTACATCACTTATTGTTGCTCTGTTCACAATGAAATGATTTGAGGCTCAGTTCATTGGGACCTAGCTTAGAAATTACTGGGAAAATACACCATTTCCCTGATTCTCACACTATAAATATTGCAAAATAACAATTCTTTTTAACAATTTTTGAGAACTGGAGGGGAGAACAGATGACATTCCACACCACCCTGAACATACAAAAAACTGCAAGATGCATCATAATTTCAGAAATAGCTAAAAAAGGCATGTCTTAGGGTCTAAGAGATATAATTAAACAACAAAATGCTTTATACAGAATAGTACAGTCCACACAAGCCTGCCTATAACCCTCACAGACCACCCAAGCAGAAGTGAGGATCAATATTTGTATAAAGCTTGGTGGGGGGGGGTGCAAACTTTTGAAAAACAACTCATACAAATTCTAAATCATTCTTTTGTACACCTAAAATAATATTATGTTCTATGGCAATTAGGTTTCAATTAGAAAAGAAAAAGCAATTATACAATTTGAATTTACTATACTCATTGCAATGTAAAATTATTAAATCAAAAGAAACATTCATGATTCACATTTTATTAACTGCCCAAAAAAATTAAAAAAAAAAAAAAAACTAATCTAAACGATTCTGAAGGATTAAAACCCTACAGAGCCAAAATTGGTTGGCTTAGTGGATAGAGCATCGGCCTGTGGACTGGGGGTCCCAGGTTCAATTCCAGTCAAGAGCATGTATCTTGGTTGTGGGCACGTCCCCAGTAGGGGGTGTGCAGGAGGCAGCTGATGTTTCTCTCTCATCGATGTTTCTAACTCTCTATCCCTCTCTCTTCCTCTCTGTGAAAAATCAATAAAATATATTTTTAAAATAAATAAATAAATAAATAAATAAATAAATAAATAAAACTCTACAAGAAAATCAATACCCATTCTATAGCCAACAAACATAAACAGAGTCTTTCTAGTGTTACTAGTAAGTCTCCTAACCTTGTCTATGGGAAATGACTGACAAGAAGCCATAATGCAGCTTCATATATATATATATATATTTGAATTTTTTTTTTACAATGAGGGATAGAGAGCTAGAAACATCGATGAGAGAGAAACATCGATCAGCTGCCTCCTGCACACCCCCTTCTGGGGATGTGCCCGCAACCAACATACATGCCCTTGACAGGAATCCACTGAGCCAAACCGGTTTTGGCAATGCCGCTTTATATATATATATATATATATATATATATATATATATATATATATATATATATATATATATATATATATATATATATATATATATAATCAGAGGCGAAGGAAGAGGGAGAAAGAGGAGAAACATCAGAGACGGGAGAGGATCATTCATCAGCTGCCTCCTAATGGAGCCCGCAACCTAGGCATGTGCCTGCCTGGAGCCAAACCATGACCTCCCTCCGGGTTCACCTTGGCCGTGGGCCTTTATAATTACCCCCTCGCCCCCTCTGCGCCACGCCCGGGGCGGTGACAGGCTCCTCCGGGGAGGGGGCCGCCTGCACACCCAGAACGCGGCAGAGGGGCACCCCGAGGCCCCCGAGAAATGGGTGCTGAGTGAACTTGTTCCCCGTTTTCAGCTTTTGTATGTAACTTTAGACAAATATCCCCAAAGCTTCCCAGAAATAAAGTTCTGTTGTTGGGAGACCAGATGGCCTGTTGGGTG